ATCGTCCTCACGTATTCACATTAATTTAATTTTTTAAATGATTTAAAAACGTAAATTAATGTGAATACGTGAGGACAATTTACAGTCAATCAAATTTTATCATTTAACAAAATAATTAAATAAAATTTAAAGGGTAAACCTGTCAATTTGCACAATAGTTAAAGAAGTAATCAATACAAATTGCCTGAAAATATGCTAAATGATCTTTCCATAATCCACAATTGATCTTTCCATAATCCAGAATTGAAAGTGACAAAAGATATGTCTAAATAAACCTAATTCACTTCGTATTCTTATTCTTATAATCATCGTATTATTGTTGTTATTATTCTTTTAATCGTTTGATAAACTTTGGTTATATATTATATCGTTCTGGAAACGGTTTGATTCTTGTATTCATCCATATGGAGTGTTATACAGAAGACGACGGCCATGTTGATTTAGTTTCAATTCTGGATCAACAATGATATGCTGATTTCAATTCAATGCAAGACAGAATAGATTATACTTATCATGAGAGTTCCTTTGATGAACAACAACATGAAAGTAATGAAAATCCAGGTTTAATTTCTTACCCTTATTAGTCAGTGTTAATTTCATTTTTTTTATTCCATTCGTATACTTTATATTAATTCATCTTCATTTCTTTTTAGAAGATTATTGTGATAATTATGATAATATTGATGAAGATGCGAACGATTTATGTGAGGATGATATCATTTCAATTGAAAACGATACATTGGGTGGATTTTATGATGATTACAGGGTCAATGAAATTAAAAATCAAGATAATGTTGACAGTTCAGGTAATTTGAATTTTTATTAGTTAATTGATATCAAAATGTTGTGTGTTAAGTAATCTATTATGGGTATCACAATGTAAATTCATTGTTTTTTCGTGTATATGTTCATCAATCTAATGATAATCATTAACATTCTAATCATCATCATGGGATTATTAATGGAAAACAATACTGGATTCCAAAGGTACCTGATGAAGTTAAGCCAAAACTCAAAGGCCATTACAAGTCATATGAAGATATAACATATATGTATTACAGGTACGCTTTTGCAGTAGGTTTTGATGTTAGGAAAACCACAAATAGAAAAGATGTACATGGTATTATTAGATTGACATACCTTGTGTGTTACAGACATCGAACCAAAAGAAAAGTAAGATTCAAAGAAGGACTGATGCAATGCATGTATCAGATTTAGTATGATGAAAGGAAGATCTACATGGTTGCGATATGAGTTTGTAGAGAAACATAATCATGAACTTATGTCTCAAGATAACATGTTTTTTTCTTGATACCATAGACAGCTTAATTCATGGCAGAAATCCTTCATTATTAATCTTTCTAATCAGAATGTTGGTGCCACCCAAACTCACAGGCTCTTTACTGCTACTAACGGTGGATGCAATATTATTGGCGGCACGATTGATGATTTTAAAATTTTGATGAGGGATCTTAATTGCTTCATAGGTGGAACTGTTGCTCAGATGTTAGCTGATAAGATAACTAACAGAACAAAAAATGCTCCTAATTTTTCATTCGACTTTAGAGTTGAAAATAAGCAACTCAACGCTATATTTTGGGCATACGAGACATCAAAGATAAATTATAAAGAGTTTGGGGATGTAGTCTCCTTCGATGTCACATTACGAACTAACATGTTCTGTATAATCTATGTTTATGCTTTATGTTTTAATTTTAATTTCTTAAACTTTTCAATGTAAATTTTTCCAGTTTTTAGGTATGACATGGTATTTGTTCCTTTCACCAGAATCGACAATCACCAAAAGTGTGTTACTTTTGGTGCCGGCTTGACAAGCAAATCTTTTCTTAAAGCTTTTGATAAACAACCAATATTGGTGTTATCTGATGAAGACCCGTCGATGAAAAACACTATAGCCAAGGTTTTCCCATAATCAATTCATAAGCTGTGTATGTGGCACATCACTTCCAAATTACCATTGAAGTTTACAATCTTTTATTTAATAAACTTTCACTCAACATTGCATTTATTATGAATCATTGTTATTTTTACTTTATATTATGAAAAGAATCATTGATAGTGCTTTTATATATCTAACATATAGTTCTATATTGAGTACTGGTAGTATAATATTATTATACATTCAATAATGTTAGTACCGTTGGCCTTTATATATTCTTTATATATTCTGTATTGACTCAATGATTGTGCTTTTTAACACTTTGCATATGTTTTTGTTGTAAGGTATTATTGGATATTGTCAACGACGATGAATTCAAGTTACAGTTCAACTCCTTGATTTGGAATGCTAAGCTTGAAGAGAAAGAGTTTGAACAAGGATGGCAAGCACTATTGGATGAACATGATCTGAAAAACAATACTTGGTTGAGGAGAATGTACAACTTGAGACATTCAGGGATTCTTGGCTTTTTCAAAAGAGTCCCTATGTCAGGTCTCATGAGAACATCATCTCGTTTTGAGAGTCAGAACACAGCCATTCATCAAAACACTCATTATGGATCCACTCTAGAAAACTTAATGATTTCTTTTGAATCTGCCATGGGGAAGCAACATTATACACAATCCTCTTTGGACTTTAAAAAAAAGACAAATTCCCTAGCATGAGAAAACCATTTGCAATAAAAGAAAATGCTTCTCTATTCTACACACGTAAAGTGTTTAGATAGTTTCAGAACGAAATGTACAGGTCGATGACTGCATGTTTCTCGTTAAATGACAACATCATTGACCATGTTCATGAGCTTCTCATAAAAGAATTTAGGCCACATGGATATTCCACCTCGAATGGACCTGATTCGGGAATTGAGAGTGATGATGATGATGATAAATGGGATGAGCTTCTAAGAGACTGTATATATACAATATTATTTAAACACTTATATCATTTTTTTCACACTATATTTTGCATACATATGGAATTATTTTTGTGTGCATGTTAAATGTGACAAGAAAGAAGGCACATTCGTTTGTAGTTGTATGAAGTTTGAACAATTTGGGATTCTTTGCCGCCACATTTTTACTACAATGAAATCCTACAACATCCAATTCATACTAGCAAATTATCATCTAAGGTAGTGGCAGAAGGATCTTATTCCACCTGAATTGTTATGAAGATGTTTCCGGTATTCAAATTTTGCTGAGAATATTCATAAAGTAGCCATCGACATATTTCAGCGGTTGATAATTGTATGTCTTCTTTGAGCACCAACAAAAAAAAGACTCAAAGAATATTATGATGCACTTAAGGAATTGGAGACCAAGTTTATTTCTTGCGTTACTATCCATGAACACCCAAACAAGTCAATAGACTTTAGAAATAGACTTGGTATGTCGATACTCACAGATGTTCAAATTCAAAACCCCACTAGAATTAGGAACAAAGGGTCTGGAACTAAAAAAAGGGTTAAAGGTGCTCAAGAAATTGCAATTCGAAAATCACGTTGTAACTACTGTTGTCAGGGTAACGATCATGACTGGCGGAATTGTCCTTCAAGAAAGGAAGATGAGAAGAACAACATTTTTAAAGAACGTCCTGGAAAGAAGCACTAACTTTTTTATCAGTCTTTTAGTATTTCATATTGATTTGTTTGGTTTGTTTACTTTATGGTAAAACAATTGTTACTTTCTTAGTCAATTGTCATTTTTCAGTATTATGTTAGTATAACTGGTGTATCCATTTTACAATTAACTTTCAAACTGTGTTTATATAATAAGAACCGTGACAAATATAACTAGCAATTAATATAAACAACCAATACACATGTAAATATGTTATACATGGTTAAATAAGTGTTATTCAAATATTTTTTAAAACTTATGCACATATTCCTTGGTTTTTAACCATCCCAACCCTTACTAAATTCTTATACGTATACAACATAAATTTAAGAATCAATATATGCACTTCAAAAAGATGTTTCTTATTCATTACATACTTGTTATATACACAAAATATTACATACTTCTAACTAGAATTATGTTAGTTATTCAATTCATAATTTATAAAACAAACTTTGTTACATGATTCTAACCAGAAATACATTTGATTCCTAAATTCATCTTCACCACAATTAATATGTAACTTTCATATTCATTACACATATTTCTAAAGTGAGTATACACTCTTATTCTATTTACATGCAAAAAAAATCAACATATGCACTTCAAAAAAAAATTATATGTCTCATTCATTATACAATTGTTTAGTATACCACTTAATACATAATTTTATTTAGAATTATGTTAGTTATTCAATTTAGAATTTTCACATCCAAGATGTGTTATATTATTCTAAACAGAAACTTTTTAGTTATTCTTTTTACAATTCCAAATCCAAGTTAAGTCTTATAAACCATGACAATCTAGTAGGAATTTGATGTTTCCATCAAATTTTAGTTAATCACAACATGTATTTCGTTTTAACATCTATATATATTTAACCATAAGATTCACCCAATAGTTATTTAAGTAACAATTATAGCATGGTTTATAGTATTTACTGTATGCACCACAAAAACATAGATTTAGAATGATAAGAGTCATATTCCATATATTAATTGACCTTTTCTAACAGATATACTGCTCAGTGTCATATACCATATATTACATATGGAATATAGGCAATAATTTTAGGTACACACTACTTATAATAACCATATTTTCACACATTAAATAGACTCATCACATAGTTTTACTTAGAATATGTCCAAAACATATATTAATCCAAACAAAATTACCATATTCCAAAAAACCAACATAACAAAACACTTCAAAGTTCATAAACGATCATCGACTTCCATAATACTAAAAAACCTAATTAAAAACCACCATCTTCTTCACAAATCATTCTACTGCACGACACCTATAATTCCTTTTTTCTTACCTTTAATCAAATTCATCCTTTCAAACCTATCCATTTTAACTCCTCATCATTTTCATCATTTTCTAACCCCTTCTTAATTGGATCTTCAATTTTCTTCTTATCATCACAAATCCTGCAATATAGCATTCCAATTGTTTCCACCTCCACCTGTCATTGTTAGTAAAACCAGTTACACATTTATCTGATGAATTCTATTGTGATTTTTAAGTAAATTACAAAACTTACAAAATAAAATAACTTACCGGCTTATCCTCGTCATCATTTACATCAATTACATCCACTTCCCCATCTCCATGAAACTTCAATGTTCCAAATCTTCCCATTTGCAATCCATGCTACTCCAACATTACCAAATCCATTGAGTCAATTTGTTTTATCAATGGCGTTCATCTACGAAGATTATACCCATTCAAAGCTACTTTGTCCTCATACGTAAGCTGCAACACCATAATTAATGAGTTCTCATTACTTATTCTCATTAGAGAATTAAATATAATACAAATCTAAATGCAAATAATTACAATTACTTACCTGTAAGAGAGTTAGTGGACCGATGTAGTAACAATTTGCGTCATTTGGCCTCCATTTGTTTTTTTCCTTCTCCAAACAATCTATTATATGCTTGCACCCATCAATCTTTTAAATATCTTCACACCTTGCTAACTTCTCCAAATAATTAATCCAGCTTTCCCCACTCATCTCTGTCTCCGTAAACGTGTTTATGAATAATGTTAGGAAATTAAGCTTGAACATGTCATCTACCACCTCCGATCGTCTGATCCTCTACTCATAATTTATATTATTGAACTTCCCTCCTGGATATGGACTTTTCCATGCATCAACCGTTGGATCTGTTTTATCACATTCCACCAACTGGTTGTAGTCTAAACCTTCACTTGGCAAGCCAAACATTTCTTCAACCGTTTTCTTTCTAATAACTATTCCCCTTTCTTAGTCTTATCAATGTTCTTGCTCTGAATTTGTCCACCAGGTAGTAGGCCAATCTGTAAGGTCCTGAAACGGATCTTTATCAATGATCAAGCAACAAACAATCACAAAAGAAGTAGAAGAAGAAAAGAAATCAAGCTTGAACACGTTTATAGCATAAAACGTCTGGTACAACTCGACACAGTACACCGTACACTCTCTGGCATCAACAACTAGACAAAGACCTACATCACCACTATATATACTCGACTGGGCCGCAAACTGGGTTTACGGCTGTAAATGTGTTTACGGCCGTAAACTCACCTTTGGACCGTAAACTGCTAAACAACCCACAAAATTACTTTTAAAGACTCAAAAGAACAAATACAATGTAAGCCTAGACCAAACCATTAACTGGACCCTTCAATCTCCCCCTTGGTCTGGTGCTAGCTTGGACTCAGTTTTTGTCGATCACCAGCACATCATATTTTCCCATAGCTCCGTTCCACATCTCTTTCTCGATAATCTCAGCACCCATTGAAGTGTACTCATTTGCAGCGGACTCAAAAATGTCTTCAGCCACCTTGATCTAATGAATGGAGAGCTGATGTATATCCCACTTACCAAATTGAAGCAAATCCCTTTTGTCATACAAGCGGATACAATCGTCTTTAAGCTTGATGACAGCAGAAGTTGTAGTTTCATCAAACACCCAGTATTGCATGGATGAGAGAGAACCATCTGGATGATTTTGAAGAACGGGAATCTGCTTTACTTGAGTAGTAGCGGGCCACATCACTGACCAAAGTGGCTGATTTGTTTTG